ACTACAAACATTCATGTACAGAGTTTTGTGCAGTGTAGGCCTCATTTATAAAGCGATAAATTCCCTGGAGAAGAGTTATTTAGCCATATGATGGGCACGTGTTTATAAAAAACTCCCAGAGTGTCATATCACTCAAAGCTGACTTTAAACAACTGGAATCTGTGCTCTTGCCTCTGAAACAAGCCATTTGAGTAGTTGGCAGTATAATTTATGATATTAGGCCTAATTCCTTTTAGGGCAATATGATTTCCACTTAAAAGTGAGGGTGTGGGGGCATCTCAGATATTCACTTAGACTCATGAGTCTGGTGGGGCCTGGGCAGATTTCTTGGCAGGTGGAGGAAGGAGGACCTTTGGGGAGGATAACCAGGAGTGGAGCATCACAATGCTACTTGGAAAAGTGTGGTGGCTTTGGCCAATACTTAACCATGAAGGTAAAGATGAAGTACAAATACTCCTTGAGTGAAAGCAAAGAAGCTGCTGAGAGGTAGAAGGAAGACAGACTGTTTGGCATTTATCTCCCCCAAATCCCTGCAAAGGCAAATGGGTTACTGTGCTTTTCCTGAGCTGCAGAGATGGGTTATCAGGTGAAACTTGTCATTCCTTCAGCAAATCAAGGGAAAGCTGTGTGGAATGGGTTTCCCCCATATCTTAGCCCAGAGCTTCGGGACATTCCACTTTCACAAACCCAATTCACCACTCAGACATTGTCACCCAACTTCCTGAAGACAGTGAAATTCCACAAAGAAAACAGCACTCCCAGTCTTGGCCCCATGGCCTGCAGGACACCTAGTGAGGAATTCAGCGAAGCTGCTCTCCTTCTCCCAGGACCACAGTGGCACAGGAAAAGCATTCTGCAGCTCTTTGAGGAAAGCAGCCAAGATGCTCATGGACCAATTCTTTGTCGCTACCAAGACCATCCAGAGCTGGAACAGGGGCCCAGCTATATACCCCTAAGCCAAGAACCTTCCACTTGACACTTACATTTCCCTTGAGCTAGTTTCTAGGACCGCCTTTTGAGTGACTGTATAGCTTTCTGTTGAATTCTAGTGGGTTTAGGCAATGCCTTTAAAAAAAAATTACCTTGAGAAATGGGCTGTTTGAAATTTGGAGGAATTTGATAGGCAATTTAGTCTGTCATTTAGGGTCACAGGTAACTTCATCACCCTGTTTAAGGGAGGAAATAATATCACTGTTATTCAGTCTTTTAAAGGCCTTATAAGTTGAGAACTGGATAAAAAGAATAGAATTTTTGCACCATGAAATGCCCACAGACTTTGAGTTGAGTTGTGGAGACAATACATTTCACACATTCAACAGACAGGGCATGTGAGCAAGGGGATGGCTTTAGAACTCCAGTTCAGCCAGATGCTCATGCACGTGTTCTGACCTTAATGTGTACCACGAAGGAATGTGAAGACCAGGCCAATTCTCCAGTCATCTAGCCCATGCTAATCAGGGTTCTTGTACAGAGCTCAACATTAACCCTTTGACCTTAAACCAGTATAGCCATGCTCCAAATTATTGGCTTTCTTAAAATCACTTGGGAAGATGTATTTTTTATTACTTTGAAACAAAGTCCCAGGCTCGCTCAGTACCTATTAGAGTATGTTGAAGTTCTAACACAGCTGCCTCCACCTCCAAGGTTGTGGGGTTAGTGGTGGGAACCGCCATGCCAGGTTTGTGCAGTTCTGTGACCTCAGGCAAGCAGACCTACCAACTGAGCCACATCACCAGCCCCTAGAGAGTTCTTTAAGAATACTTTTTATCTTAAAGTCATTCTAACTTTATGGAAAAGTTTCAAAGACACACAGAGAATTGCTGCGAACCCTCCACTCAGCTGCTACTACTGAAGCAGACACAGGACTTTTTTTCTTTTGAAGTTGTGGTCCAAATCTGTAAAATGGGACTCTCTAATGATAAGATTCGATCATCAGTATTTTTTTTAAAGGTTGCCCCCACATTCATTCAAGGTGAAGGCAAGTCTGGGAACCTCTGCTCTAAATCCTTTTCAATAGGGAATAAGCCAGCCAACAGTGTGGGCATTGCTTGGTGGCTTGTTAGTAATGCAACTTCATGTGGGAAAAAGTTAGTCTATGTATATAATAACATTTATATGATGACAAAGTAGTGTTGCAGAAACCTTCAACCCTATGCTTTAAAAACTGATTGTTGGTAGCTAAAAACCATCAGAGCGTGATCTGTTATTTAGGAGGAGAATTGATAACAATCTTGAATTAATGACAGACCAAGGCCACCGCTCTAATAGCAGAGACCTGGGAAGGCCTTTCCCATCCTCTCATCTTGCAGATTGCACTATAATTATTTTAGATTTTACTAGCGCTTGAATCAGAAAGTTGAAAGAAATAAAAAGCAATTCATTTGGCAATAGTTCAGCAGTGAAAGCTATTGATATCAAGAGTTTAAGTCTGCATTTTGGACAATGGTAACACTTTTTTATGTTTAGCTTCGTCTTACCCATGCAGATAGCATAAAGTTGATTACACAAAAATCAACGAGTTTAGAATGCCCATCGAAAGGGATCCATTTTCAGCCCTTCCCAAAATGTGTGCCCGGATGAATTACTTGCTTTTGTTGGGCTGTTCATATTTCCATTTAGAATTATAAAAGCGACTGTTGCCGATTTCTCAGTTATTTCAAACTAGCTTTTCATTTAGCAAAGTAGGCTTAAATAGCTTTGAGTATTTAAGTCAATGTTGTGGTTTCACAAAGAAACCAGTCATAGGGCTATAATCTTAACATCAATTCAATCATTTTAATTCAGGCTTCAGGATTAATGTTTTATCCTTGTTTTTTTATCATAAGATTATTTTTTAAAGAAGCCAAAATTGAATTGAGACTTGTCAGATATGAAGCCGTACATCAGCCTTACTTAGGCATGGTACTGGATAAAATTTTACCTACATAAATAAAAATTCTTTCAGCAATGCCCAATTTAATAAAAAATTGTAGAGGGTTCATACACAAGTACTTGTACTTACGCTATTTCCACTCCTTTTCCCTGTCCAATTTCTCCCTTGTCTCTCCCCTACTCCTTCTCAAATTCACAACCTCTTCTATAATTATTGTTATACGCACAAGTGGTGTACACAAACATGCACACATGCACATACAGACACAAACACGCACACACGCGCGTGCGCACAGGTGCACAAACACACACACACACAAAGCCTGCTATGCCCAACTTAATAATTTTTTAAAAAGTATTTGTTAGACTTTCTCATTACCTTATTAAAGCAGTGTTGTGAAAATTTTATCTTGAAGATTGACTTGGGTATGAGGTAGCTTTGAGCTGGATGGTCAGGCAAAGAGAAGCCATTAACAAATTAGCCTTAATGTAGGACGGTCGCATTTAAGAGTTGTCAGGGAAATGAGCAATTAACCAGTGTTGTCTCCAGGGTTCTCAGCTAAAAAAGCTGTGGCATGCCACCCACGTTCAGTGCCAAGTTCACAAACCCCATCTGTGCTCTTTAAGCTTCTTTTTCTTCCTTGCCAAAAAATGTCTTTGTTTCAAACTCCAGAGATCTAATGAGAAACTACCAAGATAATCTCACCGAGCTTCTGAGGCAGCTTTGTTGTCTACAGACCCACAAGGCTCCCTATGACTCACCTGTTTCAAACAGTGCTTTATCATACTGATCAACTAACTCGCCAAATGTCAAGCCTTACAGGCTCTGTTTTCTCTCCGCTGTACATGCTTTCAGTTTATTCTCTATTGGCTCTTTCCCCCAGCTTACAAACATATTTAATACTTTCCTACCTCCGGCCAAAATGTGCCTTCCATCTGGACTTCTAGGCAAAATGGCTAAGGTGAATGTTGCCTGGTATGATCACATAAGCCTGAGATGTCAGGACTTTGGAAGCTGAGGCAGGAAGATCACAAGTTCCAGACCAACCTTGGCTACGAAATGAGACCTTGCCTCAAAACAACAATAACAACAAAAGCCATAACCTTGAAGATACATATTTTGACTCTTTTTTTTAGTTCATAGACTGCAACTGGTTAATAAAACAGTAGTAAACAAACATGTAAAGTCATCTAAACACTAAATGCTGATAAACTATGGAACCATCAAGTCAAAGCTGCAGGTCTGAAAGATGTGAGGCTGGGAGAGAGAGGCCATCAAGAGCTCAGCTCCAGAATTGGGGGGATGGTCAGTTAGCAAAATGCCTACCTACCATGCTTAGAGCCCAAAGACTGATCCCCAGGGCTGGGGAAAATACTCTAGTTGGAAATGTGCTCCGTTGGTATATATGTATGTATTATTATTATTTTGTATAACCAAGCCCCTACTTTTGAACAAGTAGTTATGAATCAAAAATATTGACTTGGGCTCCCCGCCCCCACAAATATACCCATCTAGTCTAGTTGCACCGTATTAGCCAATACAGTTCAGATGCAACCACAGAGAAACAGCAAGACTTCATCTTAAACTAGGAAATGGGGCTGTCGTCACAATAAAAGACAATAAAAGAATCTCTACTGCTTGTCTGTGGCTGCAGTAGTATGGTATCATAAACCTGGTGTCTTGGAACAACAAAATCCCAAAAATCAAGGTGTCAAACTCTCTTGGCATGAAGCATTGCCTCGTCTGCTTTGGGGGGTTCGAGGTAATCCCTGAGTTGTGGCCTCATCACTTCATGTCCGCCTCCGTATTCACATGACCCTACTGTGTCTTTGTCTCCTCCTGGTTTCTAAGGACCTTGCTCATTGTACTTCGGGTTCATGTGACTAATATCACAAGGACTTTACCTCCATTATATATGCATTTTTCCTGAATAACACAATGTGCTCAGGCTCTGGAAGTAAGGAAGTAGATGGATCTATCATTTTGAAGACCACCATTAGGCATGGTTTTTCCTAGGCCCAAGTGCACATTTGAGTAATCTTGTCTAGTTTCTTTTCAGATGGTCTATAATTTAAACTGTTAGCAGCCACAGTTATCACGCTATCTTTGTAACTTACTCTCAAACTAGGATTTTTCTTTCGAGCAATCATCCCGATCAATGTTGGAACGATCTGAACAACAGATCAGAGCTGCTTCTAGTTTGGAGGAGCTGCTGCAAGTTGCACACTCCGAGGACTGGAAGCTGTGGAGATGCCGGCTGAAGCTCAAGAATCTTGCCAGTATGGACTCACGCTCAACATCCCATCGCTCCACTAGATTTGCGGCAACTTTCTATGATACGGAAACGCTAAAAGGTAGGTGTGTGAGTGCAATGGCAGATTATGTCCTTATCAGATAGTGGCACAGGTACCAACTCCTTCCAAAAGTTTGAGTAGGGTGGGTATGGATCGGGGTGGGGGGGGGGGAGGGAGTCTTTCTCTTTATGGCAAGACGGTTCACTGGATAGAGATGAGAATGGTTCTCAGCCGCACGTATGCTCCTCCATAAATAAACAGATGTAATAAAAATGTAAACAAATCAGTATTTGCAAGAGTCATTTCTCTCCTTCTACCTTGTGAAGCTCAGGAAATGAACACAGATCTTCAGGCTTGGCAGCAAGCACCTTTACCCACTGAACCATCTTGCCAGCTCAAGAAATCTGTGTTTTAATTGCCTACTCCACAAAGAAGAATAGTCAGTATGATTTTGATGTCTACATGCAACCCAAAAACATTTCACATTATCAAAGTAAGTTTAATTCAGGAATTTGAGGGCACGACAATACAGAAAGACTGCTTTTAGGGAGGGAAAAACAGGTTTAAAATAACCTCAGTATTCATTCAATTACTATGCAGATAGAGAGGAAAACCAAGAATAGAGCTATGGCTTTTCTTCAGAATTCTGTGGTTTTTAATCTTAAAGCTAAAGGTAGAAATTGCACAGTAAGGCATAATAATGGGTTCTGGTTACTCAGAGAATAACAAAGAAAATTCTTGACACAAAATAATCAAAGCTTAGGACTAGAAAATAGCATGCAAACATACAGTCACCCTTTTGGATCCTCAGGTTCTGCCTACCCCCTATGGGGTCAGCCATCACACAGGTCAAATACTTCAGGGAAATGCATGTGTTCTGAACATATCCATACCTTGTTTTGACATACAATATGCTGTAATGACTATTTGTATGGCATTTGTGTATTTTATTTGCATTACCAGAAGTTACCGAGACATGATTTCCAGTGTAAAGGAAGATATAGGTGGGCTATTTACAAATTCTAGCCCAATTATATAAGGAATTTGTTAACCCAAGGATTGAGTATCTATCTGTAGGGTATCCTGGGTCCAGTCCTCCACAGACATCAAGGGACCATTATATTTCTGAATTTATTCCTGAGGCAGGGGTGGAGATAGATGTGCCGTGTCTACTTACGCCCGTTTCATGATATCCAGATTGAGATATAGACTCTTTACAAGATTAGTGTGTATACATACTGTGACACAATGAATGAAATGTTTTTAAATAAAGTTGTGTGGACTTGATTAGGCATTTAGCTCTCTGATAAAGTATCAACATAACTTGAGAAACCAGTGGCCTTGTTAGAGTTAGTCTTGTAGATACAAATATTACCACATAGTACTGGAGTATATCCACTGCTTAATTTCAGTCGATCCTTAAGCAAGAATTATTCTTTTCTTTCGATCTAGAGTTGTCTTTTTTTTCCTAAAGAATGGATTGCACAGAATTCAGCTATGGGGAAAGCTGTATGGAAGTGAGGGGAATCCCACAGCAGCGTACGTGTGAAGGAAGTTCTTTGTGCTCATGAGTTGGACGGTGTGTCTGAGTGAGGGTCTTGTTGTTGATTCATGTGGTGATTTTACATGAACTTGACAAAAACAACTGCATCTGGAGACTGCAGACTTTGGCCAGATTACGTGTCCGAAGTCCCAAGGGGCATGTACAGATGACCTGTAAAGACAGTTTTCCCATAAAACCACAAGGCAGTGATTTGTAAAAGTCAACCAGGTTGACATTTTCTAAGAAGGAAACCATAAAAAATCAGAGAATTTGCAGCTTCCACGGTTTCCCTCCTAATTATGTGGAGGGCCAGCTGAAGTTATTCCTTAAATTAGAAGAAACAGATAATCAAATAAGTGTGTTACACTGATTATGTTTTGTTATCTACTCCCTCTCAAGGATTTCAGGGTAATTCCCTGGGCCATAGTAAAAAAATAAATAAAACTGGCCTTATGGAACCTTAGTCGGTAGTCTTGGTCATTACTGCATGAGATTTTGATTATAATCTCGTCCAACTTTTAAAAGTTATAACTTTAAAGAGAAAAATCAAATAGAAAATAACATTTAAATAGCATTTTAAACAATGGATATTTTCATAAGTCAATTGCTCTTTCTGTCAAAGATTCATGACTAATAGTAGCAATTTAAATAGCACCCCCTAGCAATGCTAAATAATTGTGTCATGCATACAGCCTGAAAATGTGTTTTCTCATCAGAAATTTAAAAGTATTAATTTTATATTCTATGTATGTATGCCAGCATGTATGTCTGTGCACCACATGTATGCAGTATCCATGGAGATCAGAATAAGGCATCAGATCCACTGGAATTGAGTTAGAGGTGTGAGCTTCCATATGGATGCTAGGAACTAAACGTGGGTCATCTGGAGGAGCAGCTCGTACTTCGGAGCCATCTCTCCAGGACCATTGTCATAGTTAGGGTTTCTATTGCTGTGAAAAGACACCATGACCACAGCAGTTCTTAGAAAGGGAAATATTTAATTGTGGTGTCACACTTAGAGTTCAGAAGTTTAGTCCACCATCTTCATGGCGGGAAGCAAGGCAGCTTGTAAACAGACATGGTACCAGAGAAGGAGCTAGAGTTCTTACATCTTGACTCACAGGCAATAGGAAGTGGTCTGTGTCACAGGGTGTGACTTGAGCATATGTGAAACCTCAATGCCTGCTTCCACAGTGACACACTTACTCCAGAAAGACCACACCTACTCCAACAAGGCCACACCTCTTAATAGTGTCACTCTCCTTGGAGGTCATTTTCTTTCAAACCACCACACCCACCAATACACATATTTTAAATACAGTGTATAGAACTGTTTGCCTGTTACTATATCTTACCCCCAAATTTGATTGTCCCAAACAGACTGTGTGTACACATGCAAGTGTACATGTGTGTACGGATGCATATGGTTGTGGAGGCCGGAGCCTGGGGACAACCTAGGAATTAATTCTTCAGGTGCCATCCTACTTGTAAAACAGATTTTTGGGGTTTCACATTTTTTTTTTTAGAGATCTGAAATACAAGCATGGCCAGGATATTTTTTTTTTCTTATTCAGGATCTCTCTGGAGCCTACAGTCAAGGTCTTCATTTGGGCTCCAAGTATCTCAAGGTTCAACTGGGGCATAATGTACTTCCAAGTTCATTCAACGGTTGCTTATAGGATTAAGTTGCACACGGACTCTTGGACTGTGAAGGGCCGCTTCCTCCCTGCCTGTTGGCCAGAGGCTGCCCTCAGTTGGTAGTAGCTTCAAAGGTGACTTTCAGGCTGGACAAGTGGCTTGGAGGTTAAGAGTACATACTGTTCTTGTAGAGGACCCATGTTTGTTTCCTATCATCTGTATAAGGTGGGTTCACAACCATCCATAACTCCACCTTTGTTTTTAAAATAGGGCCTCTTATTGCAACTGAAGCTCACTGATTTGAATAGCCTGCCTGGCCAGCAAACCCTAGAGATCCATCTGTCTCTTCCTTCCCAGTACTAGGATTCCAGGGGTACGTCAGCATGCCCTGCTTTTTATGTGGGTTCTGGGGATCTGAACTAAGGTCCTTGCACTTGTGCAGCCCACATTTTCCCAACTGAGCCATCTCCCCAACCCTAATGTAGGTAGGCGAAGTTTCTTTTGTTGCCAGCTCCAAATAACTACACAGAGATTTCATTTTAATTATAAATGTTTTGCCTGTAGCTTAAGCTTGTCCCACTAGCTCTTATAACTTAACCCGTTTCTATTAATCTACATTTTGTCTCATGACTTTTTACCTCTCTTCTATCTTGAACCTCCTGTTTCCTCTCTGTGTCCTCTGGTATCTCTCCCACACATTAATTCATCTCCTCTTCCTCTATCTCTGCCTGAAAGTTCTGGCTAATCTCTTCCTGCATAGCTATTGGCCATTCAGCTTTTTATTAAACCAATCAGAAGGAACCTTGGCAAAGATAAATCTTCACAGTTATACAAAAAGATTATTACACAACATATCCTCCTTTTTGTCTAAATAAAAAGAAAAGGTTTTCTTTTAACTCTTAACAGTAAAACTATATACAGTAAGAACAATTATCAGGTACTGTCCAAATAATAAGGGATAGTTTTAACTTTAACAAAGTAAAACTATATACAATAAGAACAATTTTCAAGTAAGAATTACATTCACAATGTTTAGTCCGTATGTGTTTGGCAAATTTGGAGAAAGTACTGTATTATCTATTCTATCTTAGTGAGTCCAAAGTTTTTTACCTAAACTATTTTTACGGTAGCTTGTATCACCAATCTAAAATATATTTTTAGACCTCAAAACATTTCCTTAAACAATTTAAGCTTTTATGTTTCTCAATCTTGTACATTTTATATCTCCTTTGTGAGTTTCTTTTATGAATTTGGTAACAAAGAAAAGTGTAACTATAACTAGCTCATCTTCAACCCCATCTGAGACCTAAGAAGGTCTCCTGCACCTTGATTCACCTCCTCTTCCTCTCTATGCCCAGAAGTCTTGCCTATCCAGTCCTGCCTAGCTATTGGCCATTCAGCTCTTTTTTTTCTGTTTATATTTCTGTTTTTAATTTTTACATTTTTTCAGCTCTTTATTAAACCAGTTAGAAGGTACCTTGGCAAAGACACATCTTCATGGTATACAAAAAGATTATTCCACAACACCCTGTATTTCCTTTTTTCTAGTTTCCCTCAAATTAGTTATGGCCAGGGAGCTGCTTCTTCCATTAAAAGGAAAGGGCTTATCTTGTCATCTTCTAAAAACCCGTGGACGGTTTCAAATGTGAAAAGTCTGATTTGAGGAAAAATCAATTCCATTGGAACACCCACTTGTGTGCTTGCCGGCTTTAAGTCTCTGTGCACTTATACAAGCAGACAACAGAAATTTATTTCTCTATGATTTTAAAACCTATTCCTACAGTTGTACCCTGTAAGTTGCTTGATAAATGACACTGGTCCACTGGTTTCCTTATTTTTCAGCCTTTGCAAATGGCACGTGTGTGGCTATTTGCAAGACATAGTGCTCCCCCAAGGGAAAATAAAATATTTTATGAAGTGATTGTATCAATGGAAAAGTATAGAGATTTCAATTAAGAATTTTTTTTGCAGGCACATCTTTGACTGAAGGATGGACAAAACTATCCATCTAGGGGTTAGAAAGATGGTTCAGGGGTTAAGACTACTTGCCATTCTTTCATAGGACCCGGGTTCTCTTCCCACGTGGTGACTCACAACTATCTGTAACTCCTGTTTCAGGAGATCCAATGAGCTCTTCTAATCTCCAAAGGCACCAGCCACACATACATACATGTAGATAAACATCTATACAGATAAAATAAAATACATTTCTAAAAGAAATGTTTAAATACCCACCTAGTAAAATAAACAAGTACAAAAAGGTGTGGGCGGGCGGGCATGGAAACACCTATGTTGTGTACCGGGGCCATTTTTGTCTGCTGGCCTCAATGAACTTTATTCCTGCAGTTATAGATGAGGAATGGCAGAGAACCCAGTGCAGCCCTCGAGAGACCTGCGTGGAAGTCGCCAGCGAGCTGGGAAAGACAACCAACACGTTCTTCAAGCCCCCCTGCGTGAACGTGTTCCGGTGTGGAGGCTGCTGCAATGAGGAGAGTGTGATGTGTATGAACACCAGCACCTCCTACATCTCCAAACAGGTACAAGGAAATGAAGATGCTGCTGCTGGCCTTGTTACCAAGCAACTGAGCTAAATCCTTCATGAGGGGAACCTCATCCAATTCCCCAAACAAACTCAAAGGCTATCTTACCCTCCTTGTCAGGGAAGGAAATTGAGGCTCGGGGAGGTAACATAATATCCGCCATGACGCAGCCTCGTTAGTTCCCATCTACCTAAGGCTGTAAAATCAAGACGGTACCTTTGGGCATTACTAGAACAGGGTGTTAAAAGTAATGAAGAAAGCTGTGCTGTCTTATGTAGCTGTTCCCGTGTATGGTGTTTAATTGGAATGATGGAGAAAAGCTGACTGAAGAGTGGGGGTGGGGTCAGAGGAAAAGAGGAGTAGGAATGCATGGAGGACCAGCTAAGAGGAGGAGGTGCTCTCACCCTAAAACTGAAGAGGCTGAAGGAGGGAGCAGGCATAGGAACAGAGGGAAAATGGTAGCGGACTTCCCACTTGGTGAATGCCCACTGTTAGCATGGTGGGGAATGTAAGCAGGTGCTGGGAGAATCAAAGGAACCCGGAACCAGTGAGAGCAGGTCCAGAGCCTGATAGGGAAGGGAAGAGAGACCGGGTCTCTGGGGGTAGAGTGGGGAACGAAGGGAGAATCTGCAGCACAAGAGTCTTGAAAGAATCCTGCAGTGCCCGAGAAGGAAATAAAATAAATGAATCAAACCACATTTCCCCTGTAGCTAAGTGTCCGTGGCTACCATCTTCTTGTAAGACGTAATAAAAGCTGTGTGTGGGAACGAAAGTAACCCACTTAGGAAAGCGCTATTAAAATGCTGTCAACCAGGCCACATTCCTTTTGATCCTCTGTTGCGAATTCCTCACATGTTACAACTCGTTTATCACATCTACTTGTCTCCTCATGATCCTGTAGTAAAAGACAATTACATGGGTGCCAAATACATCCATGCCAAGGAATGTTCTAAATGCCCATTTGTTTTGTTAATAGATTAAACTTTTCTAAATTTTGTCCCCCCACCCCCCCGCTCCCATCTAAACTGTCTTTAAGAGTGTAGCAATTTCGTGTCTGAACCCTTTTGGAGAATCTTAGAACTTGACATATCTGACCCCTACTATTTGATAACTAGAAACAATGACGTAAGTATGGCTACAATCGATGGTTAGTAAAACAAAGCTTGTGTAAGGTAAGAGAGTTCAGTGTCTGATGGTGGTATTCCGTGGAGCGTAGCTGAAGAATTGTGCAAGAACATGAAGTTTATGCAGAAAAACACGCTGACTGGTTCTCAGGGAGGTCTCATGACATGTTGAAAGGTCCGAGTAAACACGACCTTAGTGAGTTGTTTCCACTTAGTAGATAGCTGATTGCTTTGTTTTGACTGCTGCACTCAACAAGTGATTCATATGAAGAAATTTATTCCAGTGTAAGTGCACAGCAGTTTTTCTTTCCAAATAAGCATGTGCATGCAGTTTGGCAGTTCCTACCTTAAAGGTACAGAGTATGTGATGAACTGTCTCTTAGAAACAAACTAAATAGAACTGCATAGATTGGTGATTGAGTGGAAATGCTTTAAAACCAAGTTCAAATTTATCTACACTTCATGGAACCGCTCTCAAAACTTCTTTACCCCCTTCGGGCATCTCTTTTTCCATCTATCATGTAAATATCATTAAAAATGTAATTTTTTAAAAAAATATTTTTTATTTTTATTTATATCAGTCTGTATATGTGTCTACTACATGACTGTAATGCCTGTGAAAGCCAGAAAAGGGCACCAGATTCCCTGGAGCCACTTGAAGTGGGTGCTGGGAACTGAACTCAGGTCCTCTGTAGAAGTACCAAGTGCTCTTAAACACTGAGCCATCTCTCCAGCCTCCCAAATATAATGTTTTTACAAGTGATAAGGAAATTAATAATAAAGTATTTACAATAGAGCAGGCATATAGAAACATAGGAATAGACACACTAGCTATAATTCTCTTTCTGGGTATGATCTTAACTGGTACAGTGCTTTTATAGCAAATTCTCTACAACTCAGGGGCTTCAAACGATGATAAATTATTTTTTCTTGTATATCTGAGGTTTGAAATATTCCAAGGTGTTGTGCGAGGCCAGACCTGCTTCCTGTATCCCCAATCCTGTGGACCAGCATGGCTTCCAGGTTATATTCTTCTCATGGCTATACCATAATCAAGAAACAATAAATCTCACAAACCATGCACAGCCCCAAATTGTATTACAATTTACAATATTACAAATTACATAGAATCCACCCAAATCTCAAAGAACCTCCAAGCATTTAATTTCATTTATCCTTACAGTTTACACTTAAATTTAAAACAAGAGCAGGAACCAGTGGTACCACTTTCAAGAACTCTAGTGATGGTGAAAAGAACAGATTTGGAAAATACTTAAGAGACTTTACCAAGCTGGAGATGCCCCCTGTTTCCTGGCTCCCAACATCCCAAGCCTCTTACGATGAGTAACTCCATTCTGCATGGATAACTTTGCTAGAGTCATTACCATGAAGACAAGGACAAAAATACAGACTGTGGAAACTGAAAAAAAAAATCTATTATAAAATTTACATCATGGTTCTCTCTCTTTGCTGTAGCTCTTTGAGATATCAGTGCCTCTGACATCAGTGCCTGAGTTAGTGCCTGTTAAAATTGCCAACCATACAGGCTGTAAGTGCTTGCCCACGGGCCCCCGCCATTCCTACTCAATTATCAGAAGATCCATTCAGATCCCAGAAGAAGATCAGTAAGCATTTCCTGGACTTGATAATGTCTGTTCTTGCTTTTGACAAAATTGTGTGTGCATTCCCTTATTCCTTTACCCATTATAGAGGCATCCCCAGAAAGACATGTGTTGTGTGTTTTATGTCTTGTGAATATAAAAACAAAAAGTCCTGAAAGTACAAGGGGAATTTTTAGGAAAAAGGAAACAGATGAAGAGGAGGGGGCAGAGGGGAGAAGAGACGGTAAAGGTACAGGTAAATCTCAAAAAGTATATTTTATGCACGCTTGAATAGAGCATGGTCAAACCCATTATTTTTCACAATATACATTAATAAAATGTTAGACAAACAAAAGAAATACACGTAAAATTATCAAATTATCATCTCTTCATTAAAATTGTTTATCTTTTGGCTTCAAAACCATATCTACTCATAGTATTTGACACACATATTTTTACTAGGTTCTACATATATATTGCAGTAGGTCCCAAACCTTGATGGTTATAAATTTGTCAGGTTTACTTGCAGACACATTTGAGGTTTTTGTGCCTGTTTTTTTTTGCTTGTTTTGTTTTTGCTTTTTTTGTGACAAGGTCTCACTTTGTATCTCTGGCTGGCCTGAAACTTCCTATGTGGAGCAGGTTTCCTCAACCCTCAGAGATCCACTTGCCTCTGCCTCTTGAGTTCGGGGATTCAAGATGTGCCGCTGCATTGGCCCATCACCTTTGTTCTTAACATGAGTGGTCGAATACATGGCAAAACTGCACCAGCCTCCAAGCTACCATGTGCCCCCTCACTCCAGAGCAAGGAGTGACTCTCCTGAATTCCAGTTTACTTTCTAAAGATTTCCTAATAGAATATTGACAACTAAAGAATTACTGTCTAGTAAGATGTCATTCATAAATATAAACTCAGCTCTCTGTTTTATTTTGTTTATGTTTGTGTCTGTGTATGCATGTTTGTTGGTCTGTGCACATGTGTGCAAGTGCCATTGGAGTCCAAAAGAAGGTGCTGGACCACTTGGAGCTGGAGTTACAAGTGGTTGTGAGCTTACCCACATGGGTGTTGAGAACCGAACTCAGGTCCCATGGAAGTAAAGTGCTCACTCTAAACTGATGAGCCATCTCTCTAGTCCTCAAAGTTAAGGTCTTTAAAACCTTAATTATTCTCACATAGTTGTCATTTCTTAGCCGTCACCATGCTGTGTGGCACAGTGCTCTCAAACATTTGTTCTCCTGAATGACTCTTAGAAACAAAATATAAAAGCACTAGCATGCTCCACATAGAATATTTAGATGATAAGATATTAAATATTGAGAATGACTTAATATTCCCAAAGGAGAATTACCTTGAAAAAAATTTAAATATGGCTCATTATTTTCTTTTCCTAGATGTCCTCAATCCAAGAAACTCTGTCCTATTGACATGCTGTGGGATAACACCAAATGTAAATGTGTTTTACAGGATGAGAATCCACTCCCTGGAACAGAAGGTAAAGATGGCAATAGTGAAGTAATGACCACAGTGATAAAAAGAACATCAGCAGTGAACATGATTGAGGACTTATTATGACCAGGCATATTAGTTATTTTTTTGTTGTTGTGATAAAATAGCAACCAAAAGCAACTTCAGAAAGAAAGAGTGTATTTTGACTTATGGTTGTGGGCAATAGAGACCATCATGGTGGGAAGGCATGGGAGCAGGCGGAATGGCATCAGAAGCAGGAAACTGACTGATCACATTTCATCTGCACACAGGAAGCAAAAGAGAACAGGAAGTGGGGTGAAACTATAAACCACCAAAACCCGCCTCTAGTAGTGTACTTCCTCCAGAAAGGCCCCACCTCCTACGGGTTCCATAACTTTCTGGAACAAAACCAATTGGGAATCAAGTGTTCAAATACAATGGGGGACATTTTTTATTGATATTTATTGAGCTCTGCATTTTTCTCTGCTCCCCTCCCTGTCTCTCCCCTCCCCCTTTAACCCTCTCCCAAGGTCCCAATGGGGGACATTTTACATTCATGCCACAACATCAGACAATCTTGCAATCTTCATGAAACCCTATGATTTCCCCTTTTCACAAGCACACAGTGTCCACCCCAAGTTATCTAGCTATTTCCTCATTATTACAAAGATAACGGTGGTAGAAGCATTTGGATTCTAGAGCCTTCTCTGTTGTGACCATATCCACCAACGAATCACTCTACTTTTCATTCTCAAAGAAAAGTGCAGAGTGACCAAAGCATCCCAAAAGCATATTTTCAAGAGCAAACATTAAACTTTAATTAAAAAAAATACTTCAGGGTGAAGCACATAAGGTCTTTGGGGACCATTTGAAATCAAGCCAATAATATGGAAAAATATAAAGAATGGAAGAACACAGGGAAACATTTTGCCAGAGCTGGAGCAAACCCTGGTATTGGGCTAAGCCACACTGGGGATTGCTAGCCTGTCAATCTTTTTTCCACTCTGTAAAGCTGTGAGTTCCAGAAAGAATATATGTTTGACAATGCATGAGTTTTTTATTTGCTCCCCATAACATGTAACATGTTTCCACTGAAAACTATCACAAGAGAACATGCAGTATGAACTCGCTTGCTTTAAACTATGATTTAACAAGAATAGCAAAGATTAAGCTCCATGGAATCTGTCATAGAAACTAAATAGCAAGCTGTGATTTGCACTTGCCCTGTTTTTCTGGTTCTTAACAGCTTTCTAAATGCTGCCTCAAGAGCTCAAACTAGGATGTGAGATAATATATTTTTTAAAGTTATGTAGTTAAAGGCTCACACATATAGATGTGTACACACTGACACAATATAGTAAAGGGTGGGCTGGAGAGATGGCTCAGTGGTTAAGAGCACTGACTGCTCTTCCAAAGGTTCTGAGTTCAATTCCCAGCAACCACATGGTGGCCCACAACCATCTGTAATGAGATCTGATGCCCTCTTCTGGCCTGCAGGCATACATGCAGACAGAATATTGTATACATAATAAATATTTTTAAAAAATATAGTAAATGGTGACAATCAAGCCAGAATACCACAATGCAGTCACTAAGAAGTCATCATCCAGCCCTACCTGAAGTCAGAGCTCCCTTGGGGATATCTCAAGTAAGCAAATTGGGTACTACAGACTGTGGGAGGGTTTATAATCTGGGGTAAGGCCTTTTCTTTCTGAGGGGGGTTAATTCCTTGGGAGAACTCATTGGATAGGCTCATGTACTGAGGTAAGAAGGTCTAGTAAGGAAGGAGAGGTGTGCTCTGAGCAGGGGGCTGTAAGAGCTCAACACCAATGTGAGAGAGCAAAGCACAAACCTGCTGCTGGAAAATATGAACAAGGTGCTGGGGTGTGTTAGTTACTTTTCTTGATGCTGTAACAAAATATCTGGCGAAAGCAATGGAAGAAAGGAAGGAAGGGAGGAAGAAGGGAAGGAAGAAAGGAAGGAAGAGAGGGAGGGGGAAGGAGGAAGGGAGGAAAGATGGAAAGAAAGAGAGAGAGAGAGAAAGAAAGAAAGAAAGAAAGAAAGAAAGAAAGAAAGAAAGAAAGAAAGAAAGAGGCTTATTTTGGTTTTCAGTTTGAGGGAACAGCCTGCCATGCTGGGGCAAGAGCTTGAGAGGGCTGATCACATTGTGTCCACAGTTAGGAAGCAGACAGCACATAGCCCTACCTGTTCCTTTCCTTTCTTTTATTCAGTCTGGGGTGCCCAGCTCATGTTTACAGTGGATCTTCTTCAGTTAAAGCTCTTTCTGGTTGTGTCCTCATAGGCACAACCACAGGTGTACATCTTTGGTGGTTCTAGAATCCAGTAAAGTCACCAATAAAGATTAATCTTATCACAGAGACACATAACATATTGAGGAAAAAGGATACATATGAGGAGATGAAGCTGGGGAAACTTTTAGGATTGGAGAGAAAGACTTAATAAGCTTGTGCTGGAAAAGCCTGGGTGTGATCTTCTGGAAAAATGGAGACCACCCAAATGGTTCAAGAAAGAGAGTGGTAGCATCTGTTGAATTGTAAAAAGATCAAGCAAGCAACAGTGCAGAAGAGAATAAGTTGACCTGAGCAGGAGAGGGAGCAGGGATCTTTTGGGGAAACTGTAGCAATGGTTGCAGTAAGGAAGGAGGATGGGCTGAATCCCAATTACTTTTAGTTTTCATCACTCATGACATCTTTGTGTGCCCTAAGTTCCCATCTGTTTCTCTGGTGGTCCCTTTCTATTGATGATACATTACTTTCTGTGCACTAAACACCTTTTCTGCATAAAAAGGTATTGAGCTAATTGCCTTTTCTACAGTCATTTATTCTCCAAATAGACGTGGTTGATGCAAGTCCAACTCATTTTCTTATCGTTGCTATACTGGATAAAACATAATAACAGTGGAAAATGGAAGAAGGCCAAGGACAGAACACAGTGGTAACCCAGAGTCAACTTCCCTAGGGATGGAAATCAAAATGTAATACATCAAGGTATCAGCCTCAACTGGTTGCTGTTCAACCTAGTTCTCTTGCATCTAGTCTCTGTTCCTTTTAACTTGCTTGTAAGGACATAATGTTCTGCTCTGCCACAATCTGCTGAACATCCCAGGATTGCATTTCCCTAAACTATTCATGAATGGAGCCAGGCCTGCACACTTTCTTGTGCGCCTCTGCTGCCACCTAGTGCTCAATGACTCTTTTAAGAGTCTTAACTGTTTTTCAGTAATCTAGCCTTGTCTTGCCCTAAATTGATATTTGCCTCAGTGACTTAGAGTATATGCGGCTCATCTTTTTCAAACTCTTCATGAAATTAAGAATGGAGTCTGTGGATATCTAGTCCATGTAATTTCTAATCATGTGTCAACTAAAGTGTAGTCAAAACCATAAGACTGGATCATGAGCAATTGTCATTTGGGGATGAGGAGAAAAGAGGGAGGAAGGGAAGGGTGAGAATGAGTACGGGAGGTTTTTAGGGTCAAGGTCATGGAAGATCTTTTAATGTTTAATATTCTGGTATAAAGTTTGGCCTTTTTGTGTGCAGAAAAACTTGAAGACATTTAAGGCATGGTTGGGCGTGGTGGCTCACATCTTTAATCCCATCACAAGCATTGCTGAGGCAGAGGCAGGTGAATCTCTCTAAATTCAAGGTCAGCATGATCTACAAAGCAAGTTCTAGGACATCCAGGGCTACAGAAAACCCTGTTTTTCTTTCTTTTTTTTTTTTTTTAAAAAAAAGACATTTAAAGCTTCGGTTTGCATTTGATAGTCACCTGAGGGGACACATACTTCGGTTGTGTGGTTGTAACACAAGTAGCATCCACAAACAGAAAAAAAAAATACAAGGGACTGAGTGCCTTGTGACAGAGGCAGTGTGACGGGGAAGAGAGGGCATGCACAAGGGACCGAGTGGACAGTGGCCACACAATCTAGTGGACAATGGTGCCAGTCCCCAAATGAGGCAAACTGGAAAAGAAGCAGGCTCGGGGAAGAGATACTCATCTTCTTCCAAAACCTTCACGAATGCTGAGATGGAAAGTGCAAGTTCTTCCAAACTTTTCACCCTTCTCCACGTGTTGTTTGCTTTTGCTTTGAGAAAGACTCTTGCTGTTCCAACTGAACCTTAAACTCAATATTTAGCAGAGGATGACCTTGAACTTTTGAGCCTTCTGCCCCTACCTGTGGAGTGAGTCACCTGTCACCACCCCGAGTTTAGGAGCCACTGGGGACGGAATCCAGAACTTCTCTCCTGCTCTAGGCAAGCATCCTACCAATGGTGTCACACCTGCAGCCCATCTCTTATTCTTTCTGCAATGAATTTCAGTCCACTAGTTGAGACTGGACCACCATCCATTGTCACCTTGTATATATTTCATACACGTGTGTGATCTGAGAAAGGAAGTGCGTCATTGGTTATCTGGAAGTTCGGAGGAAACTATTTCTTCAACATCACTACTTCTGGTTCCCACTCTTCTAAAACACTGGAGAGGACTACATTTGTACCCCACAGGCAGCCTATGTCTTGTCACTGATGGTTGTTTGCATAAGTATGTGGGGTGGGTGGGTGTAGTTAAAAATGTATTTATTTTAATTTTATGTGTATGAGTATTTTGTCTCCCTTGTCTGCTTATGCTTGCATGCAGTGCCTCTGCAGGCCAGAAGAGGGCAACAGACCCTCTGGAATTGTAGTTATAGGCAGTTTTAAGTCACCATGTGAGTGTTGAGAACCAAACCTAGGTCTTCTACGAGAGCAAGGAATTCTCTTAACCCCTGAGCCATCTTTCCAGCACAGAAGTTTATGTTTTTAAAAGGTCGTTCAACAACATAAAAAAATCTGTTATGAATATTCAGTTTATGATTTTTTTAATTTAAAACCTAAGAAAACATATGAGTTCTATGTTTATGTTTGAAATCAGAGATGATCTCACTCTATGAAAAAATTAAGGTAAAAATCTATAGGCAAGAAAATTGGGAAAAAGAAAAGAAAATTGGGAAGATCCAATTTATTGGGAAGATGTAGAACTTGCAACTAATTGGGATCATCACATCCTCTAGACCTTGGTCACCAAACCAACACTTTCTTTTTTCTGTTTAGACCACTCTTATCTCCAGGAACCAGCTCTCTGTGGACCACACATGAAGTTTGACGAAGATCGTTGTGAGTGTGTCTGCAAAACATCATGTCCTGGAGATCTCATCCAGCACCCAGAAAACTGCAGTTGCTTTGAATGTAAAGAAAGTCTAGAGAGCTGCTGCCAAAAACACAAGATTTTTCACCCAGACACATGCAGGTCAATGGTCTTTTCGCTTACCCCTTAACTGCATTGACTGGTGCCATTTAAAGGGCACAGCGATCTGATTCGGTGTGGCTCCTTTGTCTCATTGCCCAAGCAACCCCTTAAAAAACAGACAAACAGAGGTCTGGCATCTCACACATAAGTGGAAGTATATAGAGTGATGATGAATTCTGTTGTTGTTTCAAAACAGGGTCTCATGAATTTCACACCTGCACCATCATGCCTGCTATCGTGCAAAACAATATCTATCATAAGCAAAACAAGAAGTCACTGACATTTAAACAATCAGATTAAGGGCGGTTCAGCTCAGCAAGCTTTCTCTCTCTCTCTCTCTCTCTCTCTCTCTCTCTCTGTGTGTGTGTGTGTGTGTGTATGTGTGTGTTTTCTCAATGAAGTAGCAGGCTAGCACTAGATTTGTGTAGGCAAGAAGTTTCTGGATGACTATGACCCTTGGAGGCTGTTGATTGGACTTTGATCAATTTCAAACCTACCCAAATTAACCACTGAGATTTTTTTAAATAATTAAACTTTTTCTTTGATGATTTCATGCACACAGAAAATGCATTCTAATTACTTGTACCCTTACACTCTCTTACCTCCATCCTACTCCTGTCCACCCATTTCCTCCCTTCAAGTCCCTCTCCCACACTCAGATCTCTTTGTTTTGTTTTGTGACCCTCTATAGACAGTCGGGGCCATCTGTGTGACCACAGGTTTGGAACCATCTGTCAGAGCTTGTTCTGTTCACCCACCTGTAGCACCACAGCCGAAGACAGTGACTCCCAGTCTCCCAGCTTCTATCGGTAGCCTACAGTTCATTACGGAGGGGTGGGGCCCCTCACAAATGCAGAAGTGGCCACCTTGTGTAGGCCTAGGGCAGATTCTCGCAGCTGTTGTGAGTTCCTAATTGCAAAGGCTGCATCAGGCCTCCAAGATGGCATTGCCTAGCCCTTCTCTCTGGCTTCTGATTGGGACATTTTCCCGGCCCCTCTTCTGCGATGTGCCCTGAGCTTTAGAGGAGGCGGTATCAACATCTTCGTTAGGGCCGAGCCCCCAGCCAGTTGAGTGCCCCTTAGAATATTACATTGACATTTTAAACACGTCCGGAAATTCTTCTTTGAAAGCAGAATCAAATGAAATCAGAGCTGAATGGTTTCCTTGAAGTTGACCCTTGCTCCTAAATTCCCATCTTCACTCTCTTTTTCAACAGCTGTGAGGACAGATGTCCTTTTCACACCAGAACATGCGCGAGTAGAAAGCCAGGCTATGGAAAGCACTGCCGCTTTCCAAAGGGGCCAAGGGCCCAGGGCTTCACAGCCAAGAGCATCCTTGATTCAACTGTCTCCCAAGTTCCTCATCCCTGTTATTTTAAATAGCCTGCTGCTTTATCGAGCTGCTGTCAGTGAGGCCCACCCCCCAGGTGTTAGAAAACTTGATTTTACCTAATGCCGTGGTGAATCCACATTCCCGTGCAAGAGCTGCTGGGTGAGTCCCTGGTTCACTGACAAATGACTTCTAGCTTCAGGTGCATCCGCACACCAGTGCTCAGGAAGGAAGGGGTCTGGAGAGTCCTTTGTTCTGATGAATGAGAAAGGGTTGCTTGCCACCGAGTAGCAGGTGCCGCGTGATTGAGTAATCAGACTGGCAAAGTCCGAGTGCGCTGCTTAGGAATTCTTCTGGTTCTTTCTTTTGCGGAATTTCATTTGGATGCTCAGCATTGATGTAATTCCTGTTCAGCTTCTACTTTTCAAGTTTATTGAGCCACTGCCTGATGTTTCATTTTTAAATGTATTTAAAGGAAATAAACATCATTATTCAAGCCGTAGAACTTGGTGTCCTTTGCTCTGCTGTTCCTCTGTATTTAGTGCTAATGGGAAATATTTTCAAGACAAAAGAAAATCTAGAGATGGGAGGTGAGGGAACAAACAAATAGACTAAAACTATACCTCAGTTTTGGGGAGCCAAGGCAGAGTTCCCAGCACGCTTATCATTCTAAATAAGGGTGACGCCAGAATGCCGGGAATCACCCCACTGCCCTCTGGCTCTGTCCTCACACTCCGTGGCATGTGAATAAATTGAACTTGAACATCATCCTTTTAGGACGAGGAACCTAACCATGCTAAGATCTCCCCACCATTTGGGATTAAGCAAACAAAACCCGTGTGTGTAGGTGTGTGTGCACGTATGTATGTGCTTCGTATTTGTGTGCACCATGTGCATGTTCCCTTGGAGGCCAAAAGAGGGCTCCAGATTCCCTGGGAGTTAAATTTGCTTGTGAGCCACCGTGTGGGTGCTGGGAATTGAACCCAGGTCCTCTGGGAAAACAGTCGGTGCTCTTAACTGCTGAAGCTTTCTCCAGCCCCCGCTCATGGCATTTGCCTATTTGTGATTCCTCTAACAGCCTGTACCCCTGAGTGTTTCTGCAGGTGCTCATCTTTCAGTCTCATCCACGTGTCAACTTGGGGGGCAGTGTGATTCTTCTCTTTGTTCCCATAGCTGCCCAGGAAGGGAACACAAAGCCTTTCTTTTTTTCTTTTCTGTGCCTAAAGTGCCCCTACATATAATTTCCAGGTGGCATAGACTTTACTGAAATTTTGGCTCATCAGAGGAAATCAAATAGCACTAGCAGTATTACTTATCAAACACCTTAAATTGATCTCTCTGAGTACGGCACACATAAGACCGGGAGCCAAACACACACATGCCATGACAGCTGTTACCGCACAAGTCTGAAAAGAGGTGTGTTCAGATATGTCTGTCCACTCTGCCATAACCCTTTTGGTATTGGAGAATTTCCTGATCCTAAGTGCGTTACTGCAATTTCTCACTCAGGTCAGACCACTCTGGGGCAGGAGAGTCACAAGGAGAAAGATAACGATAAAGAAACATAACCCTGTGCTGGTGGTGGATACTGGCCTAAACCCCGCCCTTCCTCTTTAAATTTGCTAAGCAGTTCCTGGTTTCTCCCTTTCTTTCTTTTTTTTTTTTTTTTTTTTGTTGTTGTTGTTGTTGAAGTTGTCTGAAGCTTTTAGGTTGGGGCCTTTCAATACTTCCTGGCTTTATTACTAATCCCTGATTTCTCTTTTTACTTCTCTCTTCTCTTCTCTTCTCTTCTCTTCTCTTCTCTTCTCTTCTCTTCTCTTCTCTTCTCTTTTCTCTTTTCTCCTCCTCCTCTTTCTTCTTCTTCTTCTTCTTCTTCTTCTTCTTCTTCTTCTTCTTCTTCTTCTTCTTCTTCTTCTTTCTCTCTCTCTCTCTCTCTCTCTCTCTCTCTCTCTCTCTCTCTCTCTCTCCCTGTATCTAGCTATGGGATTGTCCCTAGTGCAGTTCCACGAAGCATCTGCTCATCCCAAAACAATGAACTTTGCAAAAAGAGAGTGTATTCACGAAGTGGCAGTGAAATGTGAACAGGTGCAACCTAAATCTCAAACCTGTCTTCCAGAGGGCACACGGATAATTGTGGGATAAAGAAGTAGGCTGAAAGGTGATCTGTGATCAGATGGGGCACAGTGAACACTCTTGAATATGTAATTAATTTTCATGGCTCTCCATGGAGCACTTGTTCATAAAACAAGAGTCTCAGCAAGACCCATGATATTAGCAAGCTCCATGGGTGGAGTTTTCAGACACACCCCACACCTCAAAAGGTCACACACATGGGACTTCTGCGCAGGCCCAGGGACTACTTGGAAGGCACAACATAAGCAGCCTTTAAATCCCTGGGAAGTGCGCTAGGCTTACTGTGGGTTACTACCATGACCCACAGGTCAGAAGGGTCATGTACAGCAGAGATGGGGTGGTGTTAATAACATTCTGGGCTGCACAGCCTCCAGAATTAGTGAGCTTTGCAGTCAGCTGCAGACAGGTAGCTGAAAGCAAGAGATTCTGCTGGCTTGTTTAGGGTTCCCCCTGGATTTCAGAAGTAGTCCCATCCTGCTGTGACTGTCCTTGCTCCATCCCTTGCCTTTACTGGCCCAGTCACTCCTCTCTTGTTGAATGCTTGCGTTCTTCATCTGTGTCCACAGTGCTGATGGCTTCTCCCTTCTCGTTTTTTCTTAATCAGGTTTCTGAAAGGGCTCACACCAACTAGGCTTTATAAAATGCACTTAGCCTTCAGTGTCCTGTCTGGGCATCTCATTCCCATCCTCCCACCACACACTCTTCCAAGGTAATTGCTGGAGCTCCCCTGATGACGGAGCCAGAGGGCAGTCCAAGTGTTCCGATGACACAGAGGTGGATGACTCACTCTGCTCACTCATTTTCAAAATGGACTTTTAGATTTTCTTTTATGAGCATTTTACTTGCGTGTATGTATGTGTCGTTCACATTTTCTGGTGCCCAAGGAGGCCAGAAGAGGTTGTTGGAGCCCCTGGAATTGGAGTTAGAGACAGTTGTTAACTCCATGTGGGCACTAGAAACTGAACCCAGGTCCTCTGCAAGAACAACAGATGCTTGTAAGCACTGAGCCATCGTCCCAACCCACAGCTCCTTACTGGTAGCTTCAAAAAGAGAGAGGTTAGGTCACCAACGAGGAAAAAAAGGCATAAATCTAAGGATAAACTCCGCCGCGTAATCTCATTGTCAGGTGGAACAAGCTCATTGAATTTCAGCTTCCTCATTCCATTTGAATTATGAGTAGTGAAAAATATTGAGCAATATAATATACTTTACCAATCAAAGGTCCTATCTGATAGAAAGATAATTTTGGACAAATCCTATAAATTTGAGGCCTCTGAAATGTTGGACTAACTGTTTTTTGGCTAAAAGTGGCTCTGGCTCCTTAAATACAATTTACAGGGAGATATCACAAGAAGTCATGAGGCTGGAGCCTGCCAATCCTTCCCTCCTCAATTCCCGACAATCATCAAGAGAGTGTACTTGATCCCCAATGGCTGGTCAGGATGAGGATAGTTCTGGAGGATGTGATTTGAAGCAAGGTTTGTTTTGGGGGGTTTTTTTTGTTTGTTTTGTTTAGTTTTGTTTTTTGTTGTTGTTGTTTTGGTTTCGAGACAGGGTTCACTACTTAACCCTGGCTGTTCTGGAATTGGCTTTGTAGATCAAGCTGGCTTTGAACACACAGAGATCTACCTGCCTCTGGTTCCAGAATTCTGGGATTAAAAGCATGCACCACCACCACCCAGCTTTGAAGTAAGCTTTATTAAATACTGACTAGAAAGATGGACATTGGCCAGGTCCATACCTGGGTTTCCCAGAGAATGACCACAAATTAATGTTAGTCCGGTACTTAGAAAAAGCCACAAGGCTACATACTTCCCACCTTTGTCCAATCAGGGGCAAGCATACCTCTTGACATACTTCCCATCTATGTACGTCCCTCCTATATGTGATCAAGCACATATCTTGTGCAGGTGGTGCAACCACACGTGTTTCTAGAAGTGAAAACACATGGCACATGACTTGTTATCTTACATGACCAACAGCCCCCAGCATTCCGGGAAGTTATTTCTCCTTGGGCAAGAGGGGCTTACAGGTTAGAGGCATTTTTGTTTGATGGATCTCTTAAGCACAGTCATTTAAACTTCAAACAGAGCTTCACCCCTCACTTGCGTACTAGCGTCTTTTGTCATTGCCGTGACCCAGCAAATGCCTTCACAAGAGCAACTTTCAGGGAACAGGGTGTATTGGATTCAGGGTTTTGAGGGTACAGTCTGTCATGGTGGGGAAGCCATGGCAGCCGTTCCATCATGATGGGGAAGGCATGGTAACAACAGTCAGGGAGGGTAGAGAGAGAGAGAGAAAGAGAGAGAGAGAGAGAGAGAGAGAGAGAGAGAGAGAGAGAGAGAGAGAGAGAGAGAGAGAGAGAGGAGTGCTGGCGCTCAGATCCTTTACTCCTATTTACTCGGTTTGTGAGCCAGCCCATGGCCCAGTGCTATCAGCATTCAGAGTAGGTCTTCCTGATTTGCGTAAACCTCTCTGAAAACACCCTCACAGACACACCCAGGTGATTCCAGATCCAATCACGTTCACAGTGAAGGCTAGAATAGTTGCTATTTTGCTCATCCAAGTTCACTGGTCACTGCATGGGAATATCTGCCATACTAATAGTTGTAGAACATTACTTGAAAATCCTCAACTTGCCAAAAAAAAACCAATATGATGGTCATCTCTAAGAGTGTAAAGCAAACCACAAACGATAGCAACACACGATGTCCCTGATTATGTAAGTCACGGGGCCAGCGCGTAAATCTGTGACCAAGGCAATGTGGTGGAAAGGCCTTTGGAGACGGTAGCAAACTGGGCAGCATAATGGTGAACACTGAGATACTTGCTGAGACACTTAGTAAAATGGCACGGCTAAGGCAATTAAAGCATTTCACAGCACAGTAAAATTGGGAAATTAATGGAATTGGCATTTTGTGTGAAGCTTTGCATAAAGCAAACTCTTAATAAAGAATTAATAAACAGAACATCTTTTTACTGATTTTATGGTCAGTGAAGAAAACTTCTCTAAAATAATGCCGAGTAACTTTACACAACTCGTATTGTTCAGACTCTGCTAGATGACATGAATATCTGGATTATTCCAATGCTGCCACTCTTGATAAGAACTTAATGAAGCTTGATAAGAACTTAATGAAGGATCAGTTCTCAAAATGTTTACCAGATTACAAATATCCCCAAATCTTCTGATAGTTCATCCTTGCAATAACTTAATAAACAATTAGCCCATGGTCATTTCATCACTGATGCTATTTGTTTTAAAACAGAGGTATTTTAAGCAATGACCCACTGGCCAGTTTTGTAACCCTGCATTTTTTGGTAGGTGATGTTCTATTTAAACACATTATATGTGAAGGGGCAGAATAAACTCCATTTTGAGAAATAACTCCACTTTAGACAGGACCTAACTAGGGGCTGCATTCACATAAACATTTCCAAGAAACTGTGCCTGCCCTGATCAAAGTGACCCACCAGGGTGTCCAAACGACATCTGCTTGGTTCAAATGCCCTTGCCTACCAGTCTGAACCTTGCTTTGGAGTGCATTCCAGACAACATGAAGGCAGCCTGGACTTTGCTAGTCCCACATAGCCCCACTGGGCAGTGAGCAAAAAAATAAATGTTTCCGTTTATTACCTGACTCCCTCACTTCCCAGCTTCTTGACTGGCATTTCAACCTTTGTGGGTCCCAACAATGCTTCCCCAA